GAGAGAAACATCAATGTGCGGTTGCTGGGGGTTATGGCCTGCAACCCAGGAATGTACCCTGGCTGGGAATCGAACCTGGGACACTTTGGTTCCCAGCCCGCGCTCAATCCACTGAGCTACGCCAGCCAGGCTTACTTTTTTTTTTTTACAGAAGAGTAGAATGGGTCTAGGCACACAGAAGCCCCTTAAGTTAATAAAAGTTTCCTGACTTGAATTGCCAATGAGAGCTGTGACATACGTAAGTAAACAGTGGTACTTGTATACACAAGTACTGTGTGGTATACACATATACATAAGTATTATGCATAAGTAGTAATGAATATGTAAGTTTAAAAAGCATTGAATTATATATCCACTTAAGCTTATTTTATTTCTGCAAACTCTATTTCTGTAACTTTATATTTCACCTCAATCTTTAAAAGGTTAAAAAAATAAAGAAAAATATATTGAGGTAAAGAGGGTCATAGTTCCAGTACTACTTCGTCCCTATAGGCCTCTTCCTTCTGTGCCGACCCCTCCCCCTCCCGAGACTACCCCTGAAGGGGGAGGGGTCAGTACTGGGTTGTGTTGGCCCAGCTCTTCTGGAAATATAGATCCTTCCAACTGTACTCCGGTCCAGGCCGCTTCTGGACCCTGACCTGCAGAGCCCAGCAGGAGAGTCTCTCTTCCCTACAGCCCGCTAAGCTCCATTCCAGTTGTCCCGTGTCTTCTCCATTATACTGGCCTGTGCTCCAAAGGTCCCTCCACCCTGTGCCTGCACAAAACTGCACATAAATTCTGGGTGAAGGAAAGCTGGGGATGGGGACCAAAGACCCATCCCTCTCTGGCTGGCGGTGCACTCCACTACACAGCAGAGACCAGCTGGCAAGTTTTGGAAGGTGTCAGCTCCCCCTTGTGCTGGGTATTGGCACTGCAAATCAAGCTCGAAGTAAGAGAAGCAGAGGCAAAGCCAACTGTCCCACCCCCCCCGCACAGGACCACAGATACCACCAACCTGTCCTGTCCCCCTTCCCACTTTCCATGTTTCCACCCAGGACACCTGTACTTAAAGGGGTGGTGCTATGGGCGCGACAAGATGACAAGCCTTAGTCTTCCAGCTGCAGAGAGGGGGTTGTCAGATTTTCTGTCTCCCGTCCTTGTGTGGGGTTGGTGGGCAGCCCTCGAATTACTCTGAGAAGGACAATGTTGAGGGAGTTGAGACAGAAGATCCGCAGGAGGAAGAGACACTTTGTAGCCCTCTCTGCAGAGGCCCTCTGAGTTGTCACACTGCCCCCCTGTGGATACCTCAGACACTGATCACTCCAGGACGCTCATCTTCTAGACTTCTGGTTGGGCGTCCAGGTGGGTCCACTCTCCTGGACTTCAGAATGCTGTGACAGAACTCCCTCTAGCTATGGCAAGCGGACCTCTGTAACGCCTTTATGTAAGGGTGGGACCTTTCTGTGACACTTCTCTGAGGCCTTTGGAGACCTTGGGGGTTGGGGAGAGCCTCCAACCTGCACACACCCTCCTAAACTCATTCGCACACCCTGGGGCCAGGAGAATCCTTTAAGCCCAGTCTCACACTTAACAAGGTTCTTAAATTTTGAAGTTTAAAAAAAATGTCTGTAGGTATTTTGTGAATAGCACTATATTATTGCCTTGTGCTAAAAGTTTCATTTGCTAAGTATAAACATTTAAAATATAGCAAGTATTATCAAAACCATCTTAGTATTTAATTTTGTAATATACCAGGGGCTCAAACAATGGGCCATAACCATATGGTAGGGTCTTTAGCTTCCCCGCTCCCTTCAAACACAGAAGTTTCTCCATCTTGAAAAGCTCTCTACTGCATACTTCTGCAGTCTTGGATGATTTCCCCAACCTCCCCTTTTTCTCTGAAGCCAAGGTTTTCCAAGAGCTGTCTGTACTCCTTCTCCAGTCATTTCCTTTTAACCCAACCTCATCTATATCCCAACCCAGGATTTTTAGAAATTTACTGAAACTGTGGCTGACCTTTCTTTCCACCCCAGGCCTTTTCCTCCTTTCACTTTTTTTTTACATAAAATTTAAAATTTTAATGGTAAAAAGATAATAAATCTGAAAAGACAAACAATAGATTGTGAAAATGTTTCTAAATCAAACATCTACATCTAAATGAAAAAAATAAGAGAGTCTACAAATTGATAGGAAAAACATAACTCAAAAGGAAAATGACCAAAGGGTATGAGTGACTAGGTAAGTCACGTGGCTAACCGATGTAAGATGACCAACTCCACTGTAGTTTGGGATATGCAAATTAAAGAAACAATTATAATTTTTAAAAAGATTTTGTTTATTTTTAGAGAGAGGGGAAGGGAAGGAGAAAGAGGGAGAGAAACATCAATGTGTGGTTGCCTCTCACACGCCCCCTACTGGGGACTTGGCCAGCAACTCAGGCATGTGCCCTGACTGGGAATCTAACTGGCAAGCTGTTTCACAGGCAGACACTTAAACCACTGTGCCACACTGGTCAGGGCCAATTGTAATTTTTTTTAATTTAGAGTATCAAAGTAAATGAGGGCACTAACATCCAATGCTGGTGAAGAGAATTGGAGAGTAGTACATTCAAACTTACAGGAATGTGACCTGCTCTAAAATTTTTCTGAAACAGTTACCTATGCCATCTATTACAATTAAAAACAACATACTTGCCCTGGCTGGTGTGGTTCAGTGGATTGAGTGCCCTCCTGCAAACTAAAGGGTCATTGGCTCTATTCCAAGTCGGGGCACACACCTGGGTTTCGGCCCAGGTGTCCAGTAAGGGGCGCTGTGAGAGGCAACCACACACTGATGTTTCACTCTTTCCAACCCTTCCCCTCTCTCTAAAAATAAATCAATAAGATCTTTTTAAAAAATAAAATGAGAACAACAAAAATGCTTTTCTGTGGTTCTCATCATCCTGGTCTCAGCTCCATTGTCACCTCCTACAGCAGCCTTCCCTGACCATTAAAACAAAAACAAACAAAACCTACATATTCCCTTTGACTATAGCTTCTGCCCCAGTAATCCCATTTTAGGAACTCTGCTCTTTAGAAATAGAAGCACAATTATGTACATTCTTTCACTTTCTTTGGCTTCATGTGATCATCTAAGACAACTTGCTTTCAGAATTTCCCTTTGCCCTTCTGTTCTGGGAAGTTATGGCACCCTGAAAGCTGTGAGTGAGTCCATAGTTGTCAAGGAGCCTTGAAGGCCCAGGTACAGGTGTCCCTCTGCATTAACCCTACCTGAGCCCTCAGTTTTCTGTGCCTCAAGCAGGGAGTAAGCTGACTTTCTTCATTTGCTGCATTAACTCCAGTTTCTGCTCTCCAGACTATACAAAATAAACAAATCCTTGCTTTACACTACAGCTCTTCAGATATTTGGATCTAGTTTTTGTATATTCAATCCTGCATGAAAGTTAAGCTTTTCTTTATGTGTAAAATTTTCTGGTTCCACAAACAGCTTACCACATGATATGGCCTAAAGACCCACACCATTCATATCACCCTCCTTTGGACTAATGCATTTTACCAGTTTTTTAAACATAGTTTCTAGTACACAAGAGGCAGTACCACACAGTGTTAGACCCAAGGGCTCTGTATTTTAATCCAGTTGTACAATTACTATTGGGGTGAATTTCAGCAAGTTATACATCCTCCCTAAGCTTCAATTTTCTCTTCTTTATAATGGGGTTAATAATAAAAATTATTGGGGTAGTTGAGTGGATTAAAAGATATCATCTATGTAATGCCTATGTCTGACAGTCAAGGTCTAATTGATTCATTCAACATACATTTATTAAGTACCTACTTTATAAAGTAGGTACTTTGGGCACTTTATAAAGTAGGTACTTTGGGCACTGAGGAAATACCAGCTAACAAATGGATCCTTGCCGCCATTAAACTTACACTCTTGTGAGAGGAGCAGGCAGAAAACAAGGGAAATGAATAAAATATATACTATATTAGATAGTGATGAGAATTTTCCAAATCTTTAAATTCTGCATCCTTTTTGATGAGAGATTCCACCTGTATTCTCTTCTTGCATTTTAGTATAAACATTCAAGAGAAACCAGGCTGCTTTTTCAACATTTTGCTTAGAAATTTCTTTTTTTTAAAGATTTTATTTATTTATTTTTAGGGAGGGAGAAGGAGAGAGAGAGAGAGAGAGAGAGAGAGAAACATCAATGTGTGGTTGCTGTGGGCCATGGCCTGCAACCTAGGCATGTGCCCTGACCGGGAATCAAACCTGCGATGCCTGGTTCGCAGCCAGGACGCTTAGAAATTTCTTCAACCAAATATCCAATTTCATTGCTCACAAGTCCTACCTTCTGCACAACACTAGGACTCAAACAGAGTTAAGCAGAGCCCTTTGCACTTTGTAAAAAGCATCCCCTTTTCTCCACTTTCCAATACTCCTCAGCTCCGAGACCTCTCAAAATAACCTTTACTGTCCATGTTTCTAACAACATTTTCATTACTACATAGGTATTCTTTAAGAAAACTGAAGCCCTCTCTACAGCAGTCCTCTTCTGAGCCCTCACAAGAATTGCCCTTAACAGTCCATTCACGGCAATGGAGGCTGTCTCCAGCATGCACCTCCAGACTCTTCCAGGCTCTGCCCATTACCCAGCTCCAAAGCCACTTCTATATTTTAGGTATTTGTTACAGCAGCATCCCCACTTCTCAAGACCAGGTTTCTGTCTTAGGCCATTCAGTCTCCTACTAAAAAAAATTACCACCAACTGGGTAGCTTATAAACAATAGAAATTTATTGTCCACAGTTCTGGAGGTTTGGAAGTCCAAGACTAAGGGCTGACATGGTCACCTTCTGGTGAAGTTTCTCTCCATGGTTCACAGCCAGTGCCTTCTTACTGTGACCTCACACAGCAGAAAAGTTTAGGGATCTACCCTCATGACCAAAGCATCTCCCAAAGGCCCACCTCCTGAGATGATTATCCTCGGGCTTAGGAAATCGACAAAAGAATTTGGGGGAACAGTGTTCAAAGCACAGTACAATATGAATTCAGTATCTAGCATCATTGTTTTTTTTGGTTCCATGCATATTAAACCAGGTTTTTTTTTGACACACTAGAAAAAAAGAATTGGGGGTACACAAACATTCAGACCATAACACCTTGGCTCCTGCACATGCTAGCAGTTTGATTCTGAGAAAATTATCTAAACTATCTGTGATTCAGTTTCCTCAATTATAAAACAAGGACAAAAACAACACCTATTTCCTAGAGGTATGGTGAGGATTAAATTATATTATATACGTGAAGTACTTAGAACAGCGCCAAGCATACAGTGAGTACTCTGTAAAAGTTATGCTGTCATTTTGAAAACCACACTTCTGCCCATATTCCATTGCTTCCACTATTTTTCATAATTCCTGAAAGAACTCCAAGGACATCTCCATAGACCCATTCCTACATGTACGTGATGGTTTAGGGTGTGACTGAGGTAAGCCTGGACACCTAAACTCACTAAACAAATTAAAGCTTAAACTCATTATTAGCACCTTGGTCCTCTTTTCTTCCTCATCTTTTTTTTTTTGTTTGTTTGAATTCACTCCTAAATATGTTTTGCACAGTGCCTTGCACTTGGAAGTCATTCTAATAGGTAATACGAGGCTCAAAAAGTATTTGCTATTGTTTTACTCTGGTGCAGTTTCTTCCGGATGGTGATGATGATGATGATGATGATGATGATTTCCAACAGCATAGATCTTGATTTTATTTTCATCAATTTTCTTTTTATTCAGCACACCAGACCATAGGCTCACTTCCTCCTTCCCCCTGCAACTCTTTCCATCTCACCACCATCTGTCCTGCTTCCTTTTCCAACCGCCCACATTTCCCAACCACCCACATTCTGGCTTCCATGGGTACTCCCCATGGCTCTCTGGCTTTTTAATTTATGTATCTGATCTCTTTTCCCAACTAGACTGAAAGCTCCCTGAAGCTAAGGTGAAATCCTAAGAGTTCCCAGCATTATCTAAAGACCAAGCATGGAGAACACAGCCAAGCACGCTACTAAAAGCTCCATGATCACTCTCAGAACTTAAATATTTTTAATTCCCCCAACCTCTTTGTCCCTCTTTCCTTTGCTCAACATCCTCCTCCTCCAGGCAGGGTTCTATCTCACCCCTCATTAATCCCAAGGGCTGCAGTAGAGAGCACAGAGAGGTGAGGCATGGGTCCAAGTGGCAGAAAGACCTTTTCCTGACCAACTCTGTGGCTTCAGGCCTGGTGGAGATCCCAGTTTTGAACATGTCAAAGCCAATGTCGTTAACATAAAACTGTTTTGCACCATTTGTAAAGCAGTAGGAGTAGTAAGGATCCAAGTGTATGTTCTATCCAAAGCAAGATCGCCTAGGTTCAAAACTTTGTTTCAGCATTTACTAGATCCATGATCTTGGGAAAAATACTTAACCTTTCTGTACCGGGAGTTTCCTTATCTGTAAAATGGGAGTAACAATAGTATCTTACCTCTCAAGATTGTTGAGAGGAATAAAAGAGCAAACAATTGAAAAGTGCTTAGATTTGTACCTGAAATGTGAAAAGAAAAAAGCTAAAAAAATATTTGCTGTGGGTATTGTTTATTAATCTTACCTATCAGTGCCACAGGAAATCAGTAACTCCAAGCTCCCATAAATTAGAAATACCTCCTGTGACTAATAGTTACTATTACAACCAGCAATGGAGCACCTTCTATATGTTCAACTTGCATTATCTCCCTAAAGGACTGACAAACTTACGAAGGAGATGCACTATTATTACCCCCATTTCATAACTGAGAAGCACAGGAAGGTTAAATAATTTTCTCAAGGTCACAAAGCCAGCAAGTGGGGAAGTCACGTTTATTCATTTATTTACCATTTATTGAGTTTTTTCTGTGTCGGAGCAGGAGGGAACCCCTGTGGGTACAAAGGTAAACAGGAAGTTTCAGTTTTCAGAAAAGAGGCAGGGCGGGGCCTGGAGTGACGAGTAAACAAATAGTTATTACACCGTGTGGTAATTTCTATAATAGAGGCTAACGACAAAAAGTGCTACCGGAGCTCAGACACGGGCACAAGAAAAGTTCTGAGAGCTTGAGGCCAAAGGAAAGACACGACAGTTAAGGAATAAGCAGTTGTCTTTGACAAACGTGTCCTGTAACAAACGAGTTACACCGAAAGGAATAAACAAAGCCGAGATAAAACTGGAGAACGAGCGCTCATTCAAGAAGCCAGTCCGACCAGTCCGCGCTGGGCCAGAAAGGGGTTAAAGCGGGCGGGCGGGGTGCGCGCTGTGGAGCGGGGGTGGGGCTAGGCTCGTCCCCGCCCCTTCTTCTGCCCGGGTTGCTCCCAGCCCTAGGGTGCCGCCCGGACGAGGGCCGGGGAGCAGGGCAGTGCTTCCTGTCCCCCCTCCCGGCTCTCCTGCCGCGTTCCTCTGAGTAGACGCACTGGAAAAGTTAAGCCGCCCCACGGGCCGGCCGTGCAGGTGAGGGTCGGCAAAGTTTGGCTCGAAGAGGAAGTGGCCTCAAGCCCCGGCAGGTGGCGGCCAAGCCTGAACCCCGGCGCTCGCGGCCTGCGGGCGAGCTGTAGGCGAGGGCGCGCCCCGGAATTCGGCCTCGAGCCGATTCCCGGGGCTTCGGGAGCCGGCTTCGAGAGGCGGCTTTCAGTGGGAACGCGGCGGCAGCCCGGAAGACAACTCCGAAGTTGGCGAGAGTCACCGCCCCTGCTCTCGGGCCATCGCCGCCTCCCCGCCCCCAGCCCTGGCATCCCGAACAAGGGTCAAGGAGCCCGGGCCATGGAGCCCCCTCGGGAAGGCGTCACTGAGGGGCCTGGACGCTCGGAGCGGCGCTGTCTCCGCACTGGGTAGACAACAGAGGCTTTGGAACTCTTTCTGCTGCTCCGGGCGGCTCAGGATGCCGCCGGCCGTCCTCCTCTTCCTCCTCCTCGGTAAGAAACCAAAACGAAACTCCTCACTCGGCACTCCGCCCCCAGGGCTGTCACGGCCCCAGACGCTCTAGCTCGGTTCCTCCTCTGCTGCCCCTCAGCCTACCCTGCCAGCCCCTGCCCCCAGCCCTGTCGCCGCACCCAGCGCTGCCTGCCCCAGCCTCCGAGAAGTCTTTAGTCACCCCCTCAGCCCTCATCATCCCTCCGGCTTCCCTAGATCTCCGGGCCACCCCTCAGGCCATGCTGCCGGACCTTCCTTTGAGTTTGTACGCGGTAGTCCGCCTGCTTCACCACCCCTTCCCATAAACTACCGGGAAGTCCCAGGTGGCTCCTTTCCCCCCTTGAGTTGTACGGTAGAAGAAAACTTCTAAATGCCTCCCTCTCCTGCCCTTTCTCGCTCTTCCTCTAGGAGGCGCGCTGGCACATCCAGACCGGATAATTTTCCCAAATCCTGGTGAGCATATGATGTCTCTGGGGCCTTGGGGCCTTGGGGCTTGGTAAAATGAGGGCAGGCCCAAGAGAAGGAGTCTCTCTTCTCTGAATTCTTCTGGTCCCTACTGTAGTTTTTGAGTGGAGATCATCCACCCTTTATTTTACAGGTGGGGAAACTGAGACCCAGTATGAGCCCTCACCTGGTAGTTACACACTTTTGGGGTTTTTTTCCCCAATCTCCATGCTTGATCTCCCTAGCCAGAATGTAGTCTCCCTGAGAGTTGAGACAGTATTTCCTGCTCCTCCTCGCGAGTGGCCCCAGTGGCTGGCACAAAGCAGACCTCAGATTGTTTATGTTCTTGTTACTTTTAAGGTGAAGCCAGGATGCATGTGGGGAGGAAGGGGACCCACTGAAGACTGACTGTATAGAGTATGGTGGTCAGGGGAAGTTTGTCCCTTTAAAAAAATTTTTTTAGAGAGGCAGAAGAAAGGAGAGAGGGAGGGAAAGAAACATCAGTTTATTGTTCCATGTATTTATGTATTCATTGTTTGATTCTTGTATGTGCCCTAGCCAGGGTCAAACCCTGCAGCCTTGGCTTATGGAGATGATGCTATGACCAACTGAGCTACCTAGCCAGGGCTGTCTGCTCCTCCTTGAAGAACCCAGGCCTTTGAAGGCCTCAAGCCTGGGGAGAGGTGGGTTGGTACCAGACTCTCATCCAGTTTCCCTGCCTCTCTCACCAGCTTGTGTGGACCCCCCAGCAGTGCTTTTGGAAGTACAGGGTATCTTACAAAGGCCCCTGGGCCGGGACAGCCGAAGCTCCCCTGCGTACTGCACCTGGCTCATCCTTGGCAGCAAGGATCAGACTGTAACAGTCAGGTGAGAAGCAGGGCAAGTCCCTATTCCACTCCCCTGCCCCTCCTCACTTCATCACGGGAAAGCCTTCAGGAGTCACTTCTTTGTAGAAATTCTATCCCTGTCAATAGGGGGAAGAGTAGAATATGATTCCGCCTTATCTGTCCTTAAAGCCTGGCCTATTCTTGACCAGTCACAGTGAATTGGAGGTGGGCAGGGATGGACATCTAGCTTGGGTGCTGGTCATTTCTGAAGGCCAACAGTCTCTCTAGAAACAGGAGCCTTGGGCTCCTGTATGGCTGCTCTGAGGAGTGCTTCAATCCTTGCACATCCTTGTCTAGGGTTCAGAGGTATTCCCTTAATCAGTGTAGAACATTCAGCTTCCCCAGATCTCTTAAATAGTCCAGGTCTCCCTAGGCTCCTCCAACTTTCGGCCATGGGATTGGGGCCCATGTTAATTACCTAGCTGTCTGCTCCACACAGTTCACTTTTCATGAATTTACCCAGAAAGGGGTGGGTGAAGGGAGAGGGGCAATCTGGGGAGAGGCTGTTGGGGCAGAGGGATGGAAGTGCTGGTGTTCCCAGGTCTCACCACCAGGCATTTGGAGGGGATGGCAAGTTCTGATTAATCGAACTGTATGGTAATTGTTGGTTACTGCTAACACTGTACTTGAGTGACAGTGCTGCAACAACTGGAAAGCAATACACCTGCTTTTATTGCAGTCCCAGCAGACAAGTCAGTTTTTCAGGATGTATCTCATAGTCTCATGGTGCCACTGGCCTCTGTTAGGACTGTTCCCATTGACTACTAAGGAATTTGGCTAACTGAATTTTCGCTTGGCTATTCGGACTGTGAATAAGTAGATATTTGTGCATTTGTGGGTAGAAAAGGCCTGAGGGAGGAAGAAGCCAGTGGCAGTCAAGAATATCTTACATCTTGTTCTCCTCCATCCCTATAGGTTCCAAAAACTGCACCTGGCCTGTGGCTCAGAGCGCTTAATTCTACGCTCCCCTCTCCAGCCACAGATCTCTCTGTGCGAGGCTCCTGCCAGCCCTCTGCAGCTACCTGGGGGCAACGTCACCATTACCTACAGCTATGCTGGGGCCAGAGCACCTATGGGCCAGGGCTTTCTACTCTCCTACAGCCAAGGTGAGCTAGACAGGGATGTCCATGGGGCTATTAACACAGGCAATGAAAGCCCCAGGGAGGAGGGGAGGATCCTACCAGCTCCGGTGCTCCATAGCCCTTCTCCATGGTGCCTCTGCAGATTGGCTGATATGCCTGCAGGAAGAGTTCCAGTGCCTGAACCACCGCTGTGTGCCCTTGGCCCAGCACTGCGACGGGGTCGATACCTGTGGAGATGGCTCAGATGAGGCAGGTTGCAGTTCCGATCCCTTCCCTGACATGACCCCAGCCTCTCTCCCCACCCTACCCTGCAATCACACCTTGGAAGAGTTCTATGGGGTCTTCTCCTCCCCTGGCTACTCACACCTGGCCTCAGTCTCCCATCCCCAGTACTGCCTCTGGCTGCTGGACCCCCACGATGGCCGGCGCCTGGCAGTGCGCTTCACAGCCCTGGATCTGGGCTATGATGATTCAGTGCATGTGTATGATGGCCCTGGGCCCCCCGAGATCTCCCGGCGGCTGCGCAGGCTCACCCACTTCAACAATGGCAAGGCTGTCACCGTGGAGACACTGTCTGGCCAGGCCGTCGTGGCCTACCACACAGTTCCTTGGAGCAATGGTCGGGGCTTCAACGCCACCTACCACGTGCAGGGCTACTGCTTGCCTTGGGACCAACCCTGCGGCTTAGGCTCTGGCCTGGGGGCCAGTGAGGGCCTAGGTGAGCGCTGCTACAGTGAGGCACAGCGCTGTGACGGCTCATGGGACTGTGCCGATGGCACAGATGAGGAGAACTGCCCCAGCTGCCCACCTGGACACTATCCCTGTGGGCCTGCTGGCACCCCTGGTGCCACAGCCTGCTACCTGCCTGCTGACCGCTGTAACTACCAGACCTTCTGTGCTGATGGAGCAGATGAGAGACGGTGCCGGCACTGCCAGCCTGGCAACTTCCGATGCCGGGATGAGAAGTGCGTGTATGAGACGTGGGTGTGCGACGGGCAGCCAGACTGCGCCGACGGCAGTGACGAGTGGGACTGCTCCTATGCCCTGCCCCGCAAGGTCATTACAGCTGCGGTCATTGGCAGCCTTGTGTGCGGCTTGCTACTGGTCATTGCTCTGGGCTGCACCTGCAAGCTCTATGCCATTCGCACCCAGGAGTACAGGTCAGCTGGCTGTAGAGGAGTGGGGACTGAGGGTGAGGCAGGGCCCATGCTGCCACCAGACAGTATGAGGGTGTCCATGTTTGGCATAGGTTCCCGTGACAAACTTATGGGTTGGTTTGTGGGGTTATCCAGCTTGGGGAGAGGGTTGCTTCTCTGAGGAAAGGATAGCTCTAGGTTCTGAAGGCAACCTCAGAGAAGGAGGGGACCTCAGTGACTTGGAAAAACCATAGCATAGCTTCAGTTGTCCTGTCCTGGGTGTGGAGGGAAGAGGCCTGTCCAGGCTGGGACAGGCTGCTCTATCCAGAACCACCTCTGACTGAGCAGCCCTCATTCCTTCCAGCATCTTTGCCCCCCTCTCCCGAATGGAGGCTGAGATTGTGCAGCAGCAGGCACCTCCCTCCTATGGGCAGCTCATTGCCCAGGGCGCCATCCCACCTGTGGAGGACTTCCCTACAGAGAACCCTAATGATGTAAGTCACTACCCCCAACCCTAGCTCATCCTGCTCCCAACCCCACTGTGGCCCTGCCACTGCCCCTCCTCACTTCTCTAACTCTGATGTCTGCCTTCTCTCCTTGCAGAACTCAGTGCTGGGCAACCTGCGTTCTCTGCTACAGATCTTGCGCCAAGATATGACTCCAGGGGGTGCCTCAGGTACCCGCCGCCGCCATCGGAGCCGCTGTGTGCGCCGCCTGGTGCGCCGTCTCCGCCGCTGGGGCCTTCTTCCTCGAACCAGTACCCCAGCCCGAACCCCTGAGACCAGACCCCAGGTCGTCACACCTTCTGATGCTCCCCTTGAAGCCCTAGATGGAAGCACAGGTCTGGCCCGTGAGGTTGGGGCAGTAGGTGGGCATGATGGGGAACAGGCACCCCCCCTGCCTGCCAAGGCTCCCCTCCCATCTGCCAGTGTACCTCCAGCTGTCCCTACTGTCCCAGAGGCCCCAGGGCCACTGCCCTCAGTGCCCGTAGAACCATCACTGCTGTCTGGAGTGGTGCAGGCCCTGCGAGGCCGCCTCCTGCCCAGCCTTCGGCCCCCAGGACCAACCCAGCCCCCAGGACCAACCCGAACCCCACCTGAACCCCACACGATAGTCCTGTCCCCAGAGGATGAGGACGACGTGCTGCTGGTGCCACTGGCTGAGCCAGGGCTCTGGGTAATTGAAGCAGAGGATGAGCCACTGCTTGCCTGAGGTGGCCTGGCTACCCTGAGAGCTCTAGTCACAGTGACAGCAGCCCTTTAGAAAGCAGCTCAGCTTCTCTTCCACTACTGCCCTCCCATACCCTCAGTCTAAGGGGACTTGGTGAGCCTCCCTCTGGCCCTGTACAGCTGCTGTTAAGTCAGGTGTCCCTCAGGCAGAGAGGTCTCACACACAGCTCCCTCTGCACCTGTCCGCCACCACCCTGTTTTCACACCACCACCATTTGGATGGCTCTTTTCAAAAAGTAAAGTTCTAAAGAGGGCATAGGCCTGAACACTCCATCCTTTCCAATCCCCCACCCAAAAGTGGCCTTAAGCACCAGAATGCAAATTGGCTGGAGACCTCCAGCCCACAAGGGGAGGATTTAGGCAGGGCCTGAGGTTGGCACTGTGATCCTTCCTATGGGGCCTGGTTTGAAAAAGAAAACAAATGCTCTGTCCCAGAGCTAGGTAATTGCCCAGAAATCAAGACTGAAAATAAAGGAATCCGAAATTTAAGATTTTTGTTAAATGAGCTATGAGCCTGCACCCTGCCTCTCTGCCTGTCTCAGCTTATGCTCACCTCTCTCGGTTCCTTCTTGTGTGGGCCTTTGCTCTGGCCTCCACTTCTGCCTCTTCGTATTGATCTTCTAACTACACAGTCTTAAATGTTATACCACTCAGCGGGTAAGAAAGTTCAAGGGGCCGTAAGGTGCACTGACCCTTTCCACCTCCACTCACCACCCAGGACCCAGCTCCACTGCAGTTGATACCAGGGTGAGTGCCAAGCCTCTTCACTGCCAGGCTGGGCCCCGTAGCTGAAAGGCTCCCGTTGGTGGAGTATTCCCAGAGTGCACATCACAGGAGCAGACTGTCCCCCTGGATCGTGGGAGCTGTGACACCTGCCCTCCACCCTCTGCCCCTGCTGTACTATCCTAAGAGAGACAGACGGACTTTTAGGATCCTGCCTCAAAGCAGTCAAAGGTGAATCAAGAGAAAAATAATAAACATTTGGGGTGTGAGGATGCTGGCATCAATTTGGCCAAATCTAAGAGGTCTTCCTGGAAGAGGGCCCAAACCAGAGCCTAAAGAATGCTGTCAATAGTTGGAATAGAGTTGTGAGTTCTAGTCAGGGTGAGTGTCCACAAGATAAGCAGACTTGAGGGTGAGGGCTGTAGGCTGGACCCTGAACCTCCTCAGAAAAGGGGCAGGATCACAAGCAGTGGCCAGAGCCAAAGAGCTGAGGGTGATGGAGGAGGGAATAATCTGTGAAAAATGTTAGAATCCAGTCTCTGAAAAGAAAGCTGATGGATCTGTCCTAGAGTTTGACATTAAAATCTGGACAAAGGGTATAGAAGGAGTCCGATGCCCCAGGAGCAGAGCTGAGACATCCCTGATGGAGCCAGCTCCCCCAGGGAACTTCCAGTCTCGTCCTTACACTTCCTGTCCAGGCTAGCCTCTCTCCACCCCTCTGTGGATCACCCTGTCAACATCTTTACATACGTATGGACTGCATAATGCTTCCCCCCAGTGAGCGAGAGCCTGAGGAATGGCAGAGATGGGGTATGGTGCCACCCTGGGGCCCTGGCATCTTGGCTCAGGAAAGACCCAAGTTCTTTTCATTCCAGACCCTCTCCAGAGACTGGGGCGGGGTGGGGAGTGCTCTACAGATCCTCATTCTTGCTTACTGCTGTCTTTGGATCTTCCTTCCCAAGTGCCAACAACCCCTGGGGCCCACCAGTGTCAGGCCCAGTGCAATGAGAAATGGTGATTACCCCTCCCATCCCTCCATCACCCGCTCTGCCCTCTCCATGGACCTGTCTTCCCCACCAGCCATCTCAGAACCTTCAACCTGGTATCTTCATCCCCTGTCCTACTCCAGACCTTTTTCTGTAACTTGAAAGCAAACAAAAATTTAGGGTAAGATTGCTTCTCTTGGTGGAAGGCTCAGAGTGCTGGAGGGAGGACTTGAGGGCAGAGTTCACTAGGAAGGCCTGTGTGTATGGGGAGATCCACAAGCCCGAAGGAAGCTTCTCTAGGTGCTGGGTGTGCTGTAGGAGACACAAGCAGGAGCACTACATTCATCAGCCACACTGAAACCCCAGGTTGGCAGGGAGAGAGAGTTGGCCTTGTACAAGTAGAAAGGGAAATCCAAAACAGGTTCCTAACCAGGAGAGGGTGGAGCATTGGAGAACAGTCACCAGAGTTTGTTTTAACTATGACCCAAGGGGGAAAAGGCAACTTCAGATACTACCAGAATAGACAGTGTGACCCCTGTCACCCAGTATCAGGGGTGTAAGAGGAGGTGGGAGGTGTTCTCGACCTGAGAGGGGATGGGCTGGGAATCTGAGATGACAACAGAATTCAGTCCTTAAAGAGCAGGATCTGGGCCTGAACCTAGCTCCAGTTCCCGCTGGGAAGGAAGAGAGTCCCCCAGCCACACAGCAAAGGCTGTAAGAGCACCAAAGGCTCAAGGTGAAACCCAACCTGTTCCTGTGGCCTAAAGCTGGTCTGAGAGCAGGCGGAAGTCACGGTCAGGAACCCCTGCCGGGTTCTGCAGCTGCTGACTCACTCTAATTTGATAGCATAGAAATGAATCCAACCACCTAATTGAGTTTTCCAGCTACATCAAGCTCACCCCTTTATAATTTAAAACATTCCTAAAAACTCATTTTGGAAGAAAACCATTCTAAAACATTATATTCTTCTTTAGCACATCTGCAATATAACAAATTTCTCTGGGGAGCTGGGGATCTTCATAGAAACTAGTGGTTCCTCTTCAGCAATGTTTTCAGAAGTTATAGTAGTGTGAGGGGGCTGTTTGCCTTTATGCGAAATGACATTAGAACAATTTTTTAAGATTTTATTTATTTATTTTTAGAGAGGGAAGGGAGGGAGAAAGAGAGAGAGAAACATCAATGTGCGGTTGATAGGGGTCATGGCCTGCAACCCAGGCATGTGCCCTGACTGGGAATCAAACCTGTGACACTTGGATTCACAGCCCGCGCTCAATCCACTGAGCTACGCCAGCTAGGGCAATTTTTAAATAATATTTATTTATTTTTAGAGAGAAGGGCAGGGAGGGAGAAAGGGACGGGAAATACCCATGTGAGAGAGAAACAGCGATCGCTTGCCTCTCACCGACTGAGACCAAACCCGCAGCCCAGGCTTGTGCCCTGACTGGGAATCAAACCGGTGACCCTTTGGTTCACAGGCCAGCACTCAATCCACTGAGCCACACCACCTGGGGCTGACTTGTTGCTCTTAATGCACTTCTGATCTATGAGTACATGAACACACATGGATACATTAAAATTGTGAATAAAGGATTAAGTAGTCTGTGGCTGAGGACTGGAGAGTCTATCCATTGAGTAAAGTGCATGAGTATTGTACCTGCTCAGGAGTCTTTTCTGTTCCCACTAGACCCTACAGTGTTGTCCTGTAGTTGTCCTCCAGGTAAATGAACTGTCGTTGCATGTTAGTCTAAAGATTACAGTTTCCCTCTTCTATTGGAAAAGTTCACAGAAGAGTGCCACACGGAGTGTTCCCAGTAACTGGAGACAGTTGGAGTATTTAAAACGGGGAAGGCAGTATAGGGTAGAGGTGAAAGATCTGGGTGGAGGGGTGGAGTTCTGAAGCCCTTACTTAAAAAAAAAATATTCATTTATTTTTTAGAGAGAGAAGAAGGGAGGAAGAAAGGGAGACAACATCGAGTGGTTGCCTCTTGCACACCCCCCAGCTGGGGACCTGGCCCACAACCCAGGCGTGTGCCCCAACAGGGAATGCACCAGTGTACCTTTCGATTCACAGGCTGGCACTCAGTCCGCTGAGCCACACCAAACTGCTGTCCTTGCTTTTTTTTTTTCTTCCAGTGCAGTGATTGATTTGGGGACCAACCACCCGCCTGCCACTGTGAGCCTTACAGTCATGAGGATGAAAGGCGATAATGCAGGAAGCTGCTTAGCTCAGCACCTGGCAAAAATAGGGTCAGGGGCTGCCAGGAAATCAAAACGTTTGGGTGCTTGCAGGTGTCGGGAAGGAAGACAAGAGTGGACGCCTGAAGGGAAAAGAAACTGGGCAGGAAAGGAACAGTAAAAGACAGGTCCTTCGGTCTTTGCAGAGAGCTAGACTGACCCACAGAGGGACTGGAGGGGCGGGGCTGGCACTCTCCACCCCCACCTTTGGGTTGGGAACTTCCAGAGGGTTGGTCTCTCCCTTTTTTCCTGCTCTGATTAACACTGGGCTGGTGGGCCTGGCAGGAAGGGGGAGGAACCACAATGGTTTGCACCACCTGAACTTAGTGACAAAAGGGTGCTGCCCAAACAAAGCCCCTACCTGCCTAGGAGCCAGGCTGGGAAACAGGTACTTTTGTGGGGCTTGGCTGAGAAGGAGTGGCGTGGGGAAAGAGAGAATGTTGGGGAAACTTGGTGGCATGGTGACTGTCCCTCTCTCTCTGCATTTCTTTTGGTTTCTTCTCAAGCCCCTCCATTTAGCCACAGAGCACCCTCTCACGGCTGGACACTGGGCTAGGGGGCTGCGGACACGGAGACAAAAGACCCATAATCCTGGCTCCTGGAGAAAGACGTCTGGTCCCCGTGTCTCTGCCTCCTGCAGCGCTCAGCCCCCTTACCCACCGACCCCTCGCCCCACTTCTCTGAACTCCTCTCTCCTTCTGCCCTGTGACTTTGTTCTGTCTTAACCAGACCTGCAGTGTGTGTGCTCCCAGAAGAAAGCGACACAAAAGGGTTGGGGGGGGGGGGGCGTGCAGAAAGGAGGGAATCCCGCTGACATCACTCATTAGCATGTGTGACCTCATCAGGAGGCGGGACAATTTCCCCAGGTGTCTGGCGGTGGGGGGAGGACACGTAGGGGGGTGGCATTTGAAGGGAAAAGCTGACAGTGCTGCCAAGTGAGGGAGCGGGTGCTGCGAGGCGCCGCCGGGCTGCACACGCACGCCGATGCATTCGGACCTGGACGCCGACATGGACACGGACACAGAAACCACAGCACTCTGCCCCTCCGGCAACCACCAGGCCTCCCCGCCAGGGACGCCCACACCAGGTGAGGCTGAGCTGGGCAGGTTTCGGACGGAACCATGGAGGTGGGAGCTGAAGCTTTGGTGGAGAAGCCAGAACTAGGGGTTAAAGGAGCTTGAACCCAAACAGCAAGAGGGGAAGAGCAAGGAGGAGAGTGGGGAAGCCTCCTACTCACACTAGGAATGGGGCTGGACTGGGGGGAGGGGGCAGAGCTGGTTAAACGCCCCTCCCCCCCCGGGCTTCGCTGGGGAAATTGGTGCTTGGCCCCCTAGGTCAGTCTCATTCCCAAGAGGCTGGGATGGGCGAGAGGGAAGGGGGAAAGGGAAGGAGCAGCCCACCACCCTGGGAATCACGGGCAAGGGGCTTCCCCGGAGACCTGTTATGAGGGTTTCTTCTGGCTCCCTGGAGGCTCTGGCTGTTAGCCAAGTATCGATCCTGGGCTATTTCCAGCCTCTCTCCATCCCCCTTTGTTATGTCTGTCCGGCCTCCTTCCAGTTACCCTGACCCCGTGCATTGTCATTCTCTCCCGCTCCCGCTCTCTCCCTCGCTGCCACACTCCCTCTACCTCACCACAAAGGTAATTTTCTCTCCAACTCACTGGGATGGCCAGTGATGCAGGACTCTCCCAGTGAGGCCACATACTGGGGGATGCTCACCCACGGGGCCATGGGAAGAGGCAGCCTGCTCATGCATACACCCACCGGGACCCAAAACACACAACTCAAAGAACAAAGGCCCTTCCCTGGGAACAGGCTCCCCACAAAGTTTTTGACTACCACTACCCACCCCACCAGAACATGGGCAGCAGTTTCAGCTTCTCATCCCTGAGCCAGCAAGTGAGGGGGTTGCCAGTGCAGGAAGCAGTAGGGGCAGAGCCTCATGGCTGAAGGAGGAGCAGCCCTGGGGCTAGAGGCCTAGTCTGGGGGTGTGCCTATGTGTCAGCATGAAGTGTGAGTGGGTGTGCAAGGCTGCATGCAGGTGCCTCCCCTGCATGGGGCGTGTTTTGAATAGGTTGTGGCTGGGACCACTTTGGACACACCATCAGGTCAGCTCCTCGGTGCCCTACCAGTTCAGGCTCCTAGGAGGTTTCAGTGTAAGAGGTCAGACCAAAGATTCTAAGCTCCTCTTGGGTCATGGTCATCAACTGGGCCTCTGAAGCTACAGCAGCCAGGGCTGAATCCTCTGCAGATGGCTAGGCACCCCCTGCTCATAGCTTTTTCTCTTTGCGCCCCCCAGAAGCAAATGCCACACTGCTGAAGAAGCAAGATAAACTGCTGGCAGAGCTGGACCGGAGTGAGCCACCCTCTGCCCCAGGGGCCCCCAGACGAAGAGGCAGTATGCCTGTCCCCTACAAGCACCAGCTGCGGCGAGCCCAGGCTGTAGATGAACTTGACTGGCCACCTCAAGCCTCGTCCTCTGGCTCCTCTGACTCCTTGGGATCAGGGGAGGGAGCCCTTACCCAAAAGGACAGCATCTTCAAGGTCATGCTGGTGGGGGAAAGCGGCGTGGGCAAGAGCACCCTAGCAGGCACTTTCGGTGGTCTCCAGGGAGACAATGCTCATGAGCCAGAGAACCCAGGTATTTGGGGGAGCCCTGCAAGGGTTGAGGGTGCGTCTTTCCTTGAGAGCCCTAGTCAAGGATTGAAGAGCTCCAGGCATGAGCAGCCCCTGGAGGCCAGAACCTAAGAAAAGTTTCTACAGTGCTTTCTGTGACAACCTCTCTCAAGGGGGGTCCCTGGTTCTGGGATCTGAGGTGTCCCTGGTTACCAGGTCTCACCAGTGTTGGGAGCCTCCTAATGGGTTCTGTTGCCTGTCCTTATTTCCCAACAGAGGACACCTATGAGAGACGCATCACGGTGGATAAGGAGGAAGTGACTTTAGTTGTCTATGACATCTGGGAACAGGTGAGAACTAAGATGTGGCTGCAAGCCAGTGATGAACCCGGGGAGAGCTGGGGAAGGGCAAAGCCTGGCTCAAGGCTAGGGGACTGCAGGAGCTAGTTTCAACTTGTGTTGTCCTTTCAGAGGGCAAAGGCCCATGCCAGGGTGCAACTGAGAGCCACTGTCTTTCCAGGGTCTTCAGACCCAGAGGAAAGTTAGGATCTGGATTTGGCAAACCCTACAGCTGCAAGCCAGGCTAAACTTCCTGAAATTGACCCTACCCATACATTTTTTTTCAGCCTGGAAGAGTCTGACCAGACAGGACAAGGGGTCAGGGCTCTGGCCCCTTGTGAAAGAAAAAAAAGTGAGGATTTGTGAACATTTGGACATAAATCGTTATTATGAGAGACCAGGTTACACACACTTGAATAGCATACAGTGTGTATGAGAAAGTAGGAAGGGCTACCCTAGTCTAGGATATTGTGTCTCCAATTCTCGGGAGTGGAGCTCACATTACTAACTTGTCCCTCCTCCACAAACATGCCCTGGGTATGGAGATTCTGCCATTAAGTAGCTCTGCTGTTTTAAGCCGGTGGCTTCTCCTTTACATCCTGATTCCTCATCCTAGAGCTGTAGGCGCTGGACAGGTTCTCCCATGCCTCCAGCCCTGACAGTCCCTGACTCTCTCTGCCCATCTGCAGGGGGATGCAGGAGGGTGGCTGAGGGACCACTGCCTTCAGACCGGGGATGCCTTTCTCATCGTCTTCTCAGTCACTGACCGACGAAGCTTCTCCAAAGTTCCAGAGACCCTACTTCGACTCCGGGCTGGGAGGCCCCACCACGACCTTCCTGTCATCCTGGTTGGAAACAAGAGTGACCTGGCCCGCTCCAGGGAGGTCTCACTGGAGGGTGGGTATCCTCATTATACTTGCAGTCTCAACAGGTCTTCTCCTTGCCACATCTACTCTTTTCCATGAGGCCTTTTTATGCTCAGGTGCACAAACTTCACTGCATTTCACCCCAGTGTAAGGACAGTCTACCAATGCCTGTCCTAGGGGCCTGAGAATCCCTTCTCTTCACTCCCCTTCACCTCTTCTCCAAGGTCCCTTTCTTCCTCCCCTCTCCCCACAGCATCCCTGCCTGTCCTCTTACGTTGCCAACCCCTTTCCACACCCCACTCTGCCCCAGGCCCAGTGCAGTCAGGCAGGCAGGCCCCTGAACCTGTCCCTTCCCGCAGAGGGCCGCCACCTAGCAGGAACACTGAGCTGCAAGCACATCGAGACATCCGCCGCGCTGCACCACAACACGCGCGAGCTCTTCGAGGGAGCAGTCCGCCAGATCCGGCTGCGGCGCGGCCGGAGCCGCGCAGGGCTCCAGCGGCAGGAGTTGGGCAGCCCCAAGGGCGCCACGCCATCTGCGCGCCGCGAGAGCCTCACCAAGAAGGCCAAGCGCTTCCTCGCCAACCTGGTGCCCCGCAATGCCAAGTTTTTCAAGCAGCGCTCCAGGTCATGTCACGACCTCTCCTCGCTCTGAGCCGCCGTCGCCATGGTGACCTCGGTCGCCATGGTGACCACTCACTCAGCTTGACCCCTCGCCTAGCCCCTCCCCGCCCTGCCCCGCCCCTATCGGGCTTCCTTTGCGAAGACCGGCTAGGAAACCAAAAGCTCCCAGAACGCCCGGGTTTGACCGTGGGGCTTGCAGGGAGGTCTTCGGATACATCCTCCTCCTCTCCTACCCCCAGCCCGGGCACCTGGGAGGCAGGACTCGGAACCAGCGGGGCACACCGTGGTGGGCGGGCGGAGCGGTTCTGGTGGGCTGGAAGGAAAATCGTTTTGCAAGATATTTTGTTTTTTATTACTTCGCGCTTGACCACCTCTCCTGCAAAGAGATCCTAAAGCCGAGAACTACAAAAGTGCTTTGTAGACTCCTTTACAGGGTTTTCCACCTTTGTACTCTACACTAATATGCCTCACCTTTAAGAGATTCTTAAAGGTAAATACACGGAGACCCTTCTCGGAGACTTTTCCTAAAACGTTCTGGCTCTTACCTGCTGCACTTGTTCACGTGCCTTTAAGAAGTTAAAGGCAAGGGTCTGGAAGTGCTAGTTGTGAGAATTATTTCTCTGGTTTATCACTACACCATGGCACTTCTCCTTTAAGGCTATTAAAGGTGAGGTGTGGACAGTCTTTTGCCTTCAGATGCCAGCGTGAGGAGCTAAGCGGGTGGTACCCCCCCCTTTGGCCAGGACCCAGGAGGTACCAGCAAGGGGCCACCCTTCCCTTTTCAATAAAGAGTTTTTCTACTGCACCTGTTCACTTTGACTCTCTGTCCTCAACACCCCCACAGAAGGGATGGCTGTAGGAAACTGTTACAGACGAGAAAACTCAGGCCCAGAGGAACAAGGAACCTAAAACTCTAGGGAGGCTTCAGAACTTAGTCCTGGTGCAGTCTGGGGCAGGTGACCACAGGCCCTTAGAGATAATTAGGTCTAACTTTGTGCCTTTGTTGACGAGAAAACAGGCCTGGAGAGGAGCTAGGAGTAATTTACTTGCCAGAAGTAATTTAGTAACAGTGACAGGGGTCAAGTCACTGTCTCCTTACCCTAATATATACCACAAGGAGTAGGCTAGAGGCTACCTTTAGCTCCCAGAGCTACATTCAGCTGTGCCCTGGACTGGTTCAAGGTGAGGCCACATCCACCAGAGAGGCCACCAGCTGGGGCATGGTGGGGTCAGCCTGCAGCTCTTGCTGACAGGGCCCCACTGCTCCAGCTGTCACCTGCAAACCCTGGGTGAGAACTGAAGCTGTCAGTGCCTTTCCTGGTGACACCCACGCCTGCTGCTGCCTGAGCCACGAGTTTGAACAAAAGGAACAGAGGCAGCAGCTCCCCTGGCACTCAAACGTGTACTGCAGTTACCTGAGCACCAAGGACCAGGCCTCCGCCTCACCCTACTCAGGTTCCCAGAACTTGATGGAAAGAGGGATGAGATGTCCTCTGCGTCCTTATAGCTGAGGAAGAGCCAAGTGAGACCAGCCCAGCATGAGATAATATGACAGTGACACTATCCTTAGTACTTTATTCAGTTTATCTGTTAATTCTTTAATGACTATGTAGGGTGTCACTGCCTTTTTTTACTGTGGAAGAAAGAGTGTAAATAACTCATCTGAGAGGTCCATAAGCAAACAGAGCTGGGATTCCACTCATGTCTGCTTGATACTTAATGGTGATTTTATTCATCTTTTCATCTGAGGTTCCCCTTCCAGTAAGAACAGGGGGGTTGGGGAGAGGAAGAGGGCCAGTAGAAAAAATACAGGTGACACAGTGAGCAGGGCCATGGGCAGTGGCCGTGGTGAAGGGCCAGAGAAATACATAGCTGTAGTAGGGTAAACCAACTCTAATCTCTGGGGACCTTGAACAGAGATGGTTCACATTTTCAAAAGCAGGAGAACACACGGCCCATTAAAAGACCAGATGGTTCTGCAGTTAAGTTGAAACCTCGGGGACATGAAGAGGAGGGTAAATGGAAAAGGTTTGATGTGAAGCCCTACTTCAAGGGAGGTAGGGCCCAATTCTGTAAGCAGTGAGAGTCACTGAAGGTCTTTACGTGTGAAAATGACATGATCGTGATGATTCTTTGGGAGGAGGAGGCTGGGAGACCTGTGCATGGATTGGAGCAACAGAAGCAAGGGTAGGGCCAATCACAGTATTACATACGAAGAGCAATGAAGGACCAGCCTGAGAGAGATGGTGGTGGGAAAGTAGAGGCAGCATGGATTTGAGAGTCAGAGTAGATTAAGTGGGTAGGTATAAAGAGGGAGGAGTCACAATTTGCAAGAGGATGCGGAGAAATTAGAGTTAGGGGGCAGAGAGAGTAGATGGTATAAATGGCTCCATTTTGAAGACTGAGTATGAAATATTAGAACATCCATAAGGAGAGTTTGAGCAGTTCCCTAGATGACTGGATCTGAAGTTCAGAACAAGTTGGGGCAAGAGTCACAGATACAAGAATAATCACTATAAAGATAGAAGTAGAAGAGCCAGAAGGAGGGAGGAGATGCAAGACTGGCTTTGCGAATGTTTGACCTATGCAGTCACACCGGGCCCTATGCTTACTTTAATGCTCTGCCGTTGCTGTTCTGAAACTCTTTAAACAGGAGCTCTGTGGCCTTTATTTTGTACAGGGACCCACATATTATACCAAGGGAAAGGGTACAATACGGGCTGGGATTCCTAGCCTCAAACCACAGATGGGCTTCAAGGGTCTCTGATTCTTGTGAAAGGGCAGTCTGATATGTTTGTGCATTCATGCATTTGCCTGAGAAAAGGTTCATGAATCTCATCAGATTTCCAGAGGGGCCTGTAACCAAACAAATTACACCCCAGGTTGGGGCTGATGGCTGCTGGGAAGGGGAGCTGAGTGAAAGTGGGTGAAGCACCCTGGGTGGGTGAAGGACAGGTGTGAGAGATTTAGTTCTCATTGTACAACCCTCTCCTACCTTTTTAACTATAGCATATCTTACCTGCTCTAATACTAAATAAAATAATTAAAAATAGCCCTGGCTGATGTGGCTCGGTGGGTTGAGCGCCAGCCTGCAAACCAAAGAGTCGCCAGTTCAACTCCCAGTCAGGGCACATGCCTGGGTTGTGGGTCAGTTCAGGTCCCTGGTGGGGGGCACACAAGAGGCAACCACACGTTGATGTTTCTTTCCCTCTCTGTAAGAAAAATAAAAAAATAAAAATAAAGCAAAACCTTGGTGTTTCAGAGAAAGAAGAGGGACTAAGGAGAGTTACGGGCGGGGAGAGGCAGTTGGAGAAGGGGGAAATGAAGCCTCCACAAAGGCAGTGGCAGACTTAGGAGTGAGCATGTAGAGGCTGCTGCCAAGGGAGGAGGGCTCTTCCAGAGGAAGAGTACCACCAACGGTCGAAGGTGGTAAGAGGGGAGAATGAGAACAAGAAGGCCTAGTGCCCTTCACATGGCGGAAGTCTCCATGATTATGATTATGGCAGGACCTCCCCATGAGGGGAGCCACGCACGCACACCACAGGCCTCCCTCCCCCCAAGTCAGCCAGACCTATCAGCCGACCCATCTGTGTGTTCCTTCCAGACGCCTACAGGGAAGAGCTCAGAACAGAAGGAAACTGAAGTCACGCTCATGCCAGACTTGGGAGAGGTGGGGTCCTCTCTGAGAGCCAGGCCATTTTTCTCCCTCCCTCTGATCAAGGCAAAGACAGCCTGGCTGCTGGTCTGGACTGGTGTGAGAGATAGCTAAGGGTCTGCGAACCTGACCTGCCCGTGCCAGGCAAGGTCTCCTCTGCCTTGGCGCTCCTCTTAACCACTGCAATTTTGTCTTGGGGTCTATGCTCTTACCAGCCCAACCCCTGCCCACCCTGCTACCCCCATTCCCCTGGCTCATAAGGCCTTCTGACTGGCTGAGAACATAGACTGTGCCCTCCTTTGAGGGCTCAGAGGTGAGGCCAGTCTTGGGTCTTGGAAAGGATTCCTTGACTCTGGGCCGCTGCTTGCAGTTGCGTCAGGAGGCCCTGCTGCACGTCACAGTCTCTGTGGAGCCTGGAGCAGGGGCTGTCGTCCTCTGAAAGGTGGCCATGGTCATGCAAGGAAACTCCACAGGTCTTCTGGGTTAACGTCTCTCTTCCAGAAGGTCCACTCATAGGTACATCTTTCGTTAATTTAACATAGTTCATATACACATCCGTTTGAATAAATTTCTCCTGGACATTGTCATCTTTCATCTACAAACACTTACTGTTGACTCAAGTATTGCAGTACGGTCACCACAGCACTAAGCCCTGTGAGGGAAACAAACACAGGTAAGACTCCATCCCTGCCCTCAAGTACCTTCAGATTGCCCTGGAAAAGATGGAACGAGGTGGTGACAGCCCTACTGTGGCCAAGACAGCAGCAAACGACACAACACCTTATTCCAGCTAACTGGGGGTAACATTATGTGCTTTAAAATTTTTCTAAGAATGGAAGAAACAAAATTCACAACATAGATTTTAGGAAATGGGGCTTGAAGAATGTATGTGCGCTGTAGATAGGCAGGTGGGGAGAAGGAAAACAACTCCCTAGGGCGAAACTACACCGGCAAACACACAGGAGGAGTGGTGGGCAGCCTGCCTCACGGCACAGGAAGCAGCAACATTTGGGTGGGTGGTGTGGCCAAGTTGTCAAGCGCCCCAAAACCAGACAGGAGCATCCTGCTTCTTAGTCCTTTATCATCTTGGTGGCTCTCTGATGCATACATGCTTAAGATCCCATCTCATCTATTTGAATCTTGATGCCATGCCCCCAGAGCTTGGTGGCCCTGTAAACTCAAGATGTGAAGACAAATTCAATGGGGCCTTGCAGGCCTTTGAGGGGCACTCAGCCCGTTACTTCCTGGATGGAGGTCTAGGGAGAAAAGTCACTCTGAACCTCCGCCTTTCTGAACTTCAGCTCGCCCAGCTATGCAATGCAGATGGCACCTACCCTGTAGGATAGTTATAAGGACTGAATAAAAATGCCAATGTCTAAGTGACTTGTGAAGCATTGTACAAATGAGCAGTGGAAGTAATGTTTATTGCCACCTGTGTCCTGGTCCTTCATTCAGGCACTCAGGCCGCTTGTTAACCTCTCAAAGCACAGCAGCACTCTGGAAATACAAATTTAAGTTGCTGTCTGCAAGGTCCAACATACCTCCCACAGGACTCACAGGTGACCATTAGGCAGAGAATCTGTGATGATTTAAAATACTCTCAAAGATCCCTGGCTGGTGTGGCTCAGTGGACTGAGTATGGGAACTTTAAACCAATGGGTTGCTGATATGATTCCCAGTCAGGGCACATACCTGGGTTGCGGGCCAGGTCTCCAGTTGGGGGCATGTGAGGGGCAACCACATATTGAGGTTTCTCTCCCTCTATTTCTCCCTCCCTCCACCTCTCTCTAAAAATAAATAAAATCTTTAATAAAAAAAAAAAGAATGCTGGGGGAGGTTAGGAGGGACACTAAGCAAAGGACTCTAACAGTGAATGCCAGAAAAAAAGTGAAGAGCACTAGGTACCCTGAAGGTACCTGGGGGGCTCACCCTGATTTTTCAAAGACATCTGGCTATAATCTGATTATATAGAGTTTCAGGCATAAAACGAGATTGGACAATGGGGTTTGTTTTCCTGGAAGCTAGGCTGGCTATATGTGACCCAGGACTTTGTGAGCCTGGGGCTTTTAGCACAGGAACAGT